TCTCTCTGTCTCTCTCTGTCTCTCTCTCTCTCTCTCTCTCTCTCTTTCACCCCAACTGGTCGAGGCAGACGACCACCCACCTAGAGCCGAAGGGTCTGTCCGAGGTTTCTACCTCTTAAAAGGCAGTTTTTCCTTGCCGCCATCGCCAAGTGCTTGCTCATGGTGGTACTGTTGGGTCTCTGTAAATAATGTTTTTGCAATATGATCTCAGTGTGAACGTCATGTCAGAATTCATGTGACTTTCATATGACCGTGACTTGTTCACACTGGAATCGGATATGGACCACATTTAAATAGATTTAGAATTGAGCGCTAAGGTTTGCTGTGTAAACGTAGCCTAATAGTCACTGGTATTAAAGCTGCAGTAGGTCACTTTTATAAAAATATTTTCTTGTCATGTTTGCTGAAACTTTCATTATATCCTGACAGCAGAACATGAGACAGATAATCTGTGAAAAATAACAAACAAAAACATATTATTTATGCTCCTCAAATGTAAAACTTTTGTTTCCTTGCTTAGGACAATCAATTTGTGGACTGTGGATGCTTTGTTCTTCTTGGTAAGAGTGCTCTCGACCCCTCGTATAATGTCCAAAGAGAAGTAATAACTTCTACTACTAGAAGGTTTGAGAAGTTAGTAGTTTTCTACTAATAAAACAAGAACAAATTGTGGTTTATGTCTCGTTTCCTGCATGAGGCCCAATGTGTCATTTTGTTCTTTGGTTTGGACCAACTGAACCGAACTCCAGTGAAATCTAGAGAGACCTTAAGCTTTTGGACCAGTGAGGAACTCTGCTGTGCAGCTGCAGCCCCGGATAGTTACTTCCTTCATTCTGAGGAGATCCCCTACTCATCTTTTAAACAGATGTGCTGAATTGACACCTAACTTCTAACATTCTCTGTACCTGATGTACTGGCTCATGCATGGATCTTAATTTTACAGGTGGACACATCTGGATTCTGCTTTTGATATACCAAATGTAAATTCTTTTGTGTGGCTGAGTCATTGTGTTGGTTATTGTGTTGTTCTTTTTTAAGGATTTCATGGTTTAATGTTTGATCATTTGACCTGTTTCAATACACTTGAGCTTACATTGAGACATTAGTGTAAATCTCAAATGGGATATTGGAGCTTTTTCTACTTTAATATCCCCATCTCTTGTACCTCCTTTCATCTACATAGTGTCATAACTAATGTATTGGCTCTGTGGTAAGTCAGTGTACATACTTCTTGTTTATAATGTTTGCCTGTTTACTGGAAGAACACCAATGACTTACTTAAAGGAACGGGGTATGCTGACACTGCGTTGCTGAATGGAATGGAATATAATATTTACATGTATGTTTTCATTAGTGTATAATCACTTGAATATAAGAATATATATATAATGGTTTTGTTTGTTTTTTTTTTTGTTACCTTAGAATTAGCCTTTGATAAACTGTAGTTTGTCCTTCGTACTCGGAGAGGAAGGGGGTAAGCGAGGTAATTGCTAACTACACCCACCAGGATTTGGATTAAAATTGTGATGTATGTTGTAATGTTTTTAGGCATAAATTGCAAAAATAGTTGCATTTTTTTCATAATTCATAAAAAATTGAAAGCAACTTATTCCAGTGAGAATAAAATCTCTAGTAGTTTGCTGCCATGTGGCAACAGTTGGGTGACTGCTATGATTGGTGGAACTTGCAGTTGTTCCAACAGAATTGGACCCTAACACAAAACAGTGGATGCAGCAGGATGTCTTCAGTGATAATCCACTTACAGACAGATGCAGGTAAATAGAAGCTTGTTCATAAAAATCCAACCAGGAACAAAGAAACTGGTGACACAACCAGGAGCACAATATCTAAGGAAAAGACCGAAATGAACTGCTACAGAATCAAGGGAACACAAAGACTAAATATAAGGAGACACAGGTGAAAATAATCAGGGCAGGGCATAATTTGTGTTGTGATCGCAACATCACAATTTCCTGGAGGAAGGTTATAAGTTCTTAATTTTGGTTTATTACAACTTGGGTCGGATAATCCGTAATACAAAAACACAACCAAAGTGTACATTCTGGCAGTAAGTTTCTTCCTTTGAAAACGAAAATATAAGAAAAACACTTGAAAACAAAATTTAAAAAAGGGTCAGATTGTCTGTCCTGTTTGAATTGGAGAATGAAAAAATATAGACAGGTGAAACAGAAGTAAATGTCAATAGAACCAGCAGGATAGAATGGCCATTCTATAAAAGTGTAACACGTAGGGGCAAGATCTGTATGTTAGAACAGTGGTTCTCAATACTCAATATTAAATATACAATGTGGTTTATTGAACTTATAGTAAAATTCTTTAAGGAATTGTGCAGATGGATAAATAAATACATAAATAACTAAATATTATTTACTATATATTATTTAGTTGGGTAGCATTAATTAATAGGTATTAACTTATATATTGAAGTTCTTGGCAATCGTACGAAACCTAAAATTGCTTCATGACGTTCTCCTCTCGCCTCTCTCCTCTGTAGCAAATAAAGTCTATCAACATAAGCAACTCAGCAGTAAATTATTGATATTTTATTCACTTTACGAATTTACTTTACGAATGCTTATACTAGTAGAAATGGGCAGTGAGTGATGCGGTTCGGGCAGATAACATGCTCAAAAAAGTCAGTTGATATTTTTCAACATCATATAATATCAATGTACATAACATTTAAGAGTAGGCTTAATGAATTGAATTGATAACTGTGTCACTTTTTATCAACCAGCTCAAGCAAAAAAGAAAAAACAGTTGAGTAATAGAAAGGGTTAATCAAAAAAGGATTTCTCAGTTTAACCAGTTAGTGAAAGTAAATTTCTATCAGGGTAACAAAAACAACACAGATACATCATCAATAGCAGCTTCCTGCCTCCACAGTAAAGCACATTCATACACATGTTCATAATGAAATGATTGTAATAAAAAGGCTCAAATGTAGTAAAGTACTCTTCAGCCCTGGACGCTGCATTTTACAACAGGAACTTCCAGAGTCTGTTGTCCGTGTGCAGGAAGGATCAACAGTGTTTAGCACTCTGTGGGGTCTCCTCCTGTCAGCTTCCTGTCCTCCTTCAGTTTGGCCTCAGTGAACTCCTGTTTCACCCTCTGCAGCAGCTCTGGCAGCAGCAGTACATCCAGGGCCGTCATGGCCAGAGCCTTTGCCGTCCTCAGGGTGAAGAACTGAGCTCTGTCATCACCTGGAGTCCCAGATACAGTCAGTCATACAAACATCAGACACTGGTCGTTTTCAAACCAAAAGGCAATATGGTTTTAATTTCAATATCTTTATATATTATCATGGTAAAGTGTCAAATTTAAAGGATGTAAAGTCTAAAGGGCCCTAGTAGTTGCAATGTGTGTGTGTGTGTGGGGGAGACTTGTTTTACTATATTTTGTTTTACAGAAATCAGGAACCTACTATACTTATAGGGTCTGACAGCTATGTGGGGACCAAAATGCTGAACCCCACAAGTTTAAAGGGCTGTTAAAACTTGGATTTAGGATTAGGGTAAGAATTGACCCTTCCTTAATCCCGCCCCTTTTTGCTCTGTGCCTCAATAGCAGTTGAGCAGGCCTTGGTCAGAACCTGTCAGTTTTCTCCTTTCCTGTACTTAGATATGCTATGCGCTAGGCTAATCTATATTTAAGAGACAACCACATTTTGAAGATGGTTAAAACATAAAAGCAACATATACACATCTTAAGATAGACAGCTAATATAAGCAAAACACTAGCTAACTATTTAGCTATCTAAATCAATCATTTGCAATCTAGTTAGCTGGCAAGTTATTTATTAGCGTTTTGTTAACATTATCTAACTTATCATGTGACTATATGTCACTTATCTTTTAACCATCTTCAAAATGTGATTGTATTTTCAACATAGGCGAGACTAGCACATAGCATATCTAAGTACAGGAAAGGCAAAAGGGGTGACTTAAGAAAGGACAGTTTAGGTCAGGTTAAGCTTAGGGTTAGGGGAAAGGGATTGCATTATGTGGATGATGAGTCCCCATGAATGTGTGTATGGGGCAGAGGGTCGAACATACCAGCAGCAACAGTGTATTCCGCTGTGTGGTTCAAAGCATTAGAACCAATGTAGAAGTACGGATGGATCCCTGGAACAACAAATGTCACATTGCCAAAATCTGTGGAGCCTGAAGACAACAAGAGGAGAAAAAGTGAGTTGAACAGAGGTGGTCAACAGGGGCATCATGCAAGTAATATTTAAACATTCTGACAACTATCCTTACTTGCTTTCTTTAAATAAATTTAGTAGAAGGTACCCACAACTAATGTTTATTAAGAGATTGAATAGATGAAACTGAGTGCTTGTGTGTGACACTGTCCACTCCTACATATTTCAGTCGCCTCTTCATTCCTAACTGTTCTTTGACATCCACAGAGGAAGCACACGTACCAGATTCATTATTTAGAACATCTTCATCTGTGGTGAAGTCCATCCCCAGAGACTTGCCGTTCCACTCGTACAGCTCCTCCAGTGCAGCGTTGCGCAGCATGTTGTCGTATTTATTTCTTGCAAACTCTACTTCAACCTGAAAGAGTGATTTTGATTTCTTAGCTGTTCTAAAGTAAAACACGGCCTCTTGGGGCTTATTGCTTAATTTGAATGTCACTGCACTGTGGTTTTTACCTCACAACCAGTTGCCACAGCAGCCGATCTAAAGCACATCTCAGCTTTTGCCTTTAGGACGGGAAGCTCAGTACGTGAGGGAGTTCTCAGGTAGTACTCCAGCTCAGTGTAGGCAGGGATGATGTTTGGTTTCAATCCCCCATGCTTAATGATACCTGCACAACACAACATGATTTAACCCAAGCTCAGTGAAATCCTCGGCGCATGACTTAAGTACAGAGGTTCAGTTCACCATGAACTCTCCAATTTGGCTTCATCTGCTGCCTGAGCACAGACAGGTTGTTGTAGCACAGCACAGCTGCATCCAGCGCATTGATTCCCTCCCAGGGGTAGGCCGAGGCATGAGACGCCTTACCATGATACTTTATGGTTACACTGGAAAACATAAGGCAGATCACACTTCAGTCTCTGCTTCTATACAGAGGGCACTAAAAGGTTCTCTGTGGAGTTTTACACTCCTGCCAATGGTTTGACACTATTCAGCACACACAACAAACAGAAAAATATTCATACAGGACATTTGCGTGTAATAAACTTACTCGTGCTCTGCCACACAGGGAAGGTATGTGGCATCCTCTTTTGATGGGTGGGCCATAAACACCACATCGAGGCCATCAAAGGCTCCCTCTCTTAACATGTCAATTTTACCTCCACCGTCCTCCTCAGCCGGGGTCCCCAGCACCGTCACCTGTGGAGACAGGTCCAGCATGCGTTGGATTCTAAGTGTGTATGAGTTAGTGGCAGTAGTTGCACCCACAACCTTTTTCTCTTTTTAGTCTGAATTACAGAACCATAGTCTGACTATGCATTCTGTTTTTGGCTCAGGTTCACACTGGCCCTTTGCAACTCAACCAGGATAATAACAGTTTTTACATGTTTTAGTCCATAAAGTACAATAGAACTTTTTCACAGCAGTCATTTTAACATGGCACAGTAGGGTAAACACAGGTGTTAGCAATGATACTCAAACAGAGTCAGTCGGCTATTGTGCATGTTGACTCACTGGAAAGGCTCTGCTACACTAAATGGAACGGAATATAATTAGTAATTTGTAACACCTGTGTTTACCCTACTATTTCATGTCAAAACGCTGTGAGAAAGGTTTATTCAGACAGCCATATTTAAAAGTACAGATTTCCTGCCTTTCAAGCAGGGATTTGTTTGAATTCATGTCACAAGCTTTTTATAGCTAGTGGGATGTTCAGCCACCTGAGTTCAATCCACTTCCTGAAAACCAGACTGAGAGTAAAAAGCTTCCAAGACAAATAAGATGGGAAGATGGCAGAAGCTTATCAGGGAACAGGGAAGAGTCTGCTGATATCTGTTGACTTCAGTCACTGACTGTAATGTATTGGACCCCCAGATATAGAAGTGGTGACTTTATTTCAGTTTGTCTTAATTTTCTTAAATAATTTTTGTCCCCTAAAATTGGGGGAATATGTATAAACATGTCAACAATTTCTCGAAACAGCCTCAAAATCAAGCTGAAAGTCTGCAGTTTAAGCATGACATTTTGACCCAGTCTAGCTGTAATTACCCATTATGTTTAGAGTTTGGCCTCAGTGCCCAGTGGTAAAATGTTGATCTTTGACCTGCACTACTTGTTCAGACTCACATCTCCAGGTTGTAATAGTCAAATTGACAAACAACCAAACTTCACAAGTAAACAACTTTGCCAAACATGAACTGAACACTGTGTAGCTGTCCTACCTGCACCCCCACAGGGAGCTTCTTCTCTGTGGTCTCGAGCGCAGCTTTGAGCCCCAGAGCCGCAGCAGCTCCAACCTCAGCTATCAGGTTGTGTCCACACGCGTGTCCAATACCAGGCAGGGCATCGTACTCACATAGGAAGCCCATGTTGACCTGCTGCTCGCCGCCTCCTCCAGTTCCCCAAGTGGCTCGAAATGCAGTCTCCAGTTTGAAGTGACTGTCGACCTTCCAGCCCTCCTCCTGACTGAAAAACGCCACCAGTCTGTCATGAGACCTGGTTTCCTCATAAGCCAGCTCTGGACAGCCCCATATGTCCTTACTGAGCACATGGAGCTTTGCTTTGGCTTCGTCTATACAGCAGCCAACTCTCCGTTTCAGCTCCAGCAGTAAGTCTGCTCTGTCCGACATCTTGTTCACTTTATAGTAAGTTATATTGTTCTATGACCATGAACTTTGGCATTCACAGTGTAACTGTGTGTCTCACAGCAACTGACTGCAGTCTTATCAAGTTACAGTAAACGCCGCCTACAGCACGAAGGCTAAATCTGTTTCAAAATAGCTTACACACACACACACACACACAACACTGCATACTGCATGATCAGTCTAGGTTTGTGTTTACAATTATATTTTTTTTAGTATTGTCTAGACTTATCCCTACTATTTAAGAAGTGTCCTGAGATAATTTTTGTTATGAATTGTAACATGTGGTCCTCCAATGCTTCTACATACACTGATGTATATGAAACACCAATGAGTGAGCTGCTGCTGGCAGTTTGAACCTCACAATGGCTGCCTTTAGAAGAAAGTTAATTTGATTTCAATCAAGTATCACCATGGTAATGGCAATTTTTAAGAACCTTGACCTGGTCATTGTAAAATCCATACGTAACTGTTAAAGAGGCTATTATATTAATATAACTTTTAGCCCTGAAGGACATGATCATCTCACCACACTGGCTAAATCATTAGTTAGCCAGTCAGCTAACATTTGCTAACATTACCCAAGTTAAGATGTGACCATATATGTATGACTTTAACTTTAATCTTTAAAAAGTGGTTGTCTTTTCAACATAGAT